ACGGTGAGACGGACGTGTAGTTCAGTTTTGGGCACGCGTACGGTGCTGCAGGGATTATATATAGGTGTAGTAGTACCTCTTCGGGCTCTTGTACACCTTTTTCTTGCTACGTGTGCGTGTTCTTTAGATCCTCAGATGGCTCCAGCACTTTCGTGACCACGGGCCGAGAGTCTTTGCTAGATTTTGGCATTTAGCAACTGGCATACGGTTTAATGTGAAGTCAACAACAACATATGCATCCATGTTGATGTCGTTCAGTGTCATATCCATGTTGATATCGTTCAGTGACATATCAAATGTTTATATCGTCCAGTTACATATCAATGTTCAAATCGTTCAGTGACATAACTATGTCCAGTTACATATGGTTTCCATGTTCATGTAGTTCAGTGACATTTCAATGTTTATATCGTTCAGTGACATATCAATGTTCATGTCGTTCAGTGACACATTGTTCGCTCTTGACGGGTGTGGGGCCTCGACAACGAGCAGGAAGCAGTAGCCCTAAAACACAAGCACGCAAATTGGTAAACCCTAACCCTACCGGTAGGTAGGGCGGGGGGGAGTGGCCATCATTTAGGGCTCGCGAATCGGTACGGTAGTCTCTCGGAAGTGATCGCCGACCTATGGCGAGGCAGGCGACAGGTAATGATAAACGATGAACCCTTGCCTTGAAGATGATGTGTTCTTCTTGCTAGAAGACGATCTCGTTCAGTGACATATCGTTAGCTCTTAACGGGTGTGGGGCCTCGATGACGAGTATTTATTTCTTCCACAGAAGACGACAACAACAACAACATCAGCAGATACGAGCCCGGGATAGAGTAGCAATGAATGCCATCGTTGGGTGTTTTTTTTAGATACGTGAAGGCCAAGTCGTAGTGTTGTATGGTGACGTTCTTTTTCTGGTTGTCTTTTGGTGTCGCAGCTCCGGACAGTGTGCTACAACCTCCTCGGGCTGTCGTGCAGACAGGGGGCTCTGTACCTGGCTGTCCCCGCCGACAAGGTGCAGGACGTGGTGGTCAACGGCATCTTAGCCGGCTTCGAGTTCATCGAGAACAGGTGCGTTGTTGTTGCTGCTACTGCTGCTGGTGTTGTTGCCACTGCTGCTGTTGTTGGTAGTGGTGTCGCTGGTGCTATTGCCTGCGTTATTTGTGTTGTGGGTGTAGATGATGTTTCTGCTGATGTTGTTGGTGTTGGTCTGTGGTTGCTGCTGCTGTAGGTTTTGCTGTAGGTTTTACCCTCCACTCTCCCTTCACAGTCCCCCCGACCTAATTCATGCATCACGATTGCCCTGATCTTGCAGCTGCACTCTTCCCTCGCCGTGCCCTCCGCCCCCCCTCCAGGCACCTACAAGGGTTTTGCTCCCGCTTTGTCGAGAAGTACGTGGTCTGTTGCCCTCCCTCTCTGGTGCGGTCTCACGTTGAACCCGTGATGGCGATGTTGGCCTGCAACATCATGCCTAGACTCAGCGTAAGTCATAGTCGGCATTAGCGGAACATTTCGAGAACACCCCGTGAGGGGGGGGGGAGGAGGGGAGCCTTACCCCTGCTGGTTGGTTTTTCTGTCTGAAGAGGAGAGCTTAGGGGGAAAGTACGCCACCCGTGTCGGCCGTATTCTTGGCATGCACCCGTAGTTTCATGTTTTCGTTGATGAGGATGATGATGATGGTGATGATGATGATGGTGGTGGTGGTTTTGATAAAGATGACAAAGTGCCACATGTTCTGCGCTGCTGGGATGGAGGCACATGTCAAAAATGGGACGGGCTGCCTCTTTCATTCGCGTATTTCTGTGCGTGACCTTGTACGTGAACAACGCCTTCGAACGGTCGTGGTGCTTTGCCATCGGCTGTCATTCGCGCACCGTCTTCACGCAACCTGTACATGGGGGTCCGGTACATCGGTGTGGTTGCACACCATGAAACACTCCTGCCACCAATGACTAACTGTTGCGGACGAACGGACGTACCATGGTTTAATTTCCATCCGCGTGGCCCCTCTAGAATGCATACGTGCGAACCGTACCATACCGTAACCCAACCCCTAGTGACGTGTGTGGTGTGTGCAGGCTGCCTGGTCTCCTCAGAGCGCAGGCGCACAAACGTTGCGGGCGAGAGACCCCGAGAAGTTCCAAGTTTACGCTGACGGAGGGGCGATGCTGACAGAGGAGGTGTGTACGATGTCGTCGTCTTCGTCGTCGTCGATGTTGTCGTCACGTTGGAACCCTTGTGGTTCCTTCCGTGCTCACGGGCCACGCACAGAACGCGACACCGCTTTGCCTAGGGGGTGTGTCTATGGCTATCCCCACGGCGACTATTTTGGTTTTAGTTTAAGGCTTCTACTGTAGGCTGAGCGCCCGTTCTCATGGCCAAGTTCTTAGATTTTGGATATGTTCAGGCTCCACCTCTTAACTTGTAATTTTTTTAAGTGGTGGCGCGTTTTGTATTGTACCCACAAAGCGTTCGAAAAAATGTTTTGTGGGCTTAGATAGGCCTGAATTGCTGTGTTGGTGGTGTTGGGTGCCTGATTGTTGGCAAGGTAGCAGGTGGGCATGTCATGCTGAAGGTTGAAGGGGGGGGGGGGGGACCNGGGGGGGGGGGGGGGGGGGGGGGGGGGGGGGGGGGGGGGGGGGGGGGGGGGGGGGGGGGGGGGGGGGGGGGGGGGGGGGGTACTCGTGTTATGCATGCCTTAGGTGTTAGATAGACCATTGACGATTGGTGCGAAGGGGGGCTGTCGGCTCAGGGCTGTTATTGTACGGATGACCCGATGGAGACGGGTGTAGCGCTGCAACGTCGCTCGGTGTGGGCGGTGCCAACTTTGCGCTCTTCGCCATCCTCATTTTCACTCCCGTATGTCTGTCTCCTCCCGTACTCTCTCTCTCTCGCTCCCTATCACCCTGTCCTCCCTACCCATAATACGCTCGATCGTCGTTTGACCTCCCTCGTCCGATGAAAATGCTGACACGAAACAGGACTTGGACAAGGATGAGCTCGAAGAACTCAAGATCAAGCACCGGCTGCACCTCACAAAGGGGCTGGCTGACATCGTGCACGTGAGGGTCATCATTTAACAACCATGTCGTATTTCGTCGTTTTACCCGTAGCATGTGGTACGGTGCATAAGACCACCTCCACTACCAGCCCCTTGTGACAAAACCCCCCTTTACCTTCCTATGTATGTCAAGGGTAGTCGGTCGCCCTTGTGGTCTATCTGGGTCCTCTTTCTCTGTGGAGAGTTTTCTTTGCCTGAATGTATCATACGACTTGCTGCCAAGAACGAGTAATTCGTGCACACTGCTACTTGGCTGTCGACAAGGGAAAGGGACGGCTGAACCATTCTCGCGATCGTAGCAAGTACTGCTGCAAGGGGAGTTACCGCAAGAAAACGACGGGGCTTTTGAACAGCACAGTAAGCCCAAGAAGTTCCTGTGTAACACCGGGTGATGCGTACGCTAGATCTACAGAACTGTGGACACCGAAAGGTGTTGTAGACCGGCGCCAGAATAGTTGGTGCGAAACACGCAAGGGTTGGCGGCTGTCTCTCATCAGTGCTCGAGTATCACCTCCCACCTTCCCACCGTTCAACAAGTTTTTGTTTTTGTTTCCTTCCTGCTTCGTGGTTTTCTCCTCCGCACGGCACCCCCTAATCTAATATGACAGTATTGGGACGCCTTGTGACCCATGCTCCCCCCCCCCCCCCCCCCCCCCCCCCCCCCCCCCCCCCCCCCCCCCCCCCCCCCCNCCCTCGTACTAGGAGTATTAGGAATAATGCCGCGTCCTCTCGAGGACGCGCGGTCGATGGTCTATCTAAGGCATGCAAACCATGAGTACCCGCCCCCCATCCCCGTCGCCTTGTCACTGAAAGGCGTGCCTGGCGCTGAGAGGAGAACTGAACTTGCCTCCCAGCGCTCTCGACAAGGGCGGAGCAGGGGGGGGCGCGGGTGATACACAGAACGGCGGCAGGGGTAGAGGGGGGGGGCGGGGGCACCCTAGAGGGCAGCCTTATTCGGCGAGAGAAGGGAGAGGAAGCAGGGGGGGCGGCAATCTGTCCAAGAAGGCTGCACAGGTACGTAAGAGAGGGAACTTCAAGCTTGTAACGAATCGGTCGTGTGTCCTTGTTTTTTGCTGTGTTGCCGTTTTTATTTCATGTGTGGCGGATTACGGGATGGCCGCGATTGCTTTACTGTATTGCCTTTTTTATTTCGTCTTGTGTGGGGGATCACGGGAGCGCCGCGCTCACGGCGGCGAAACCAATGAGGCCGTATCGTGTGGCATACGCGGCAGCTTAAGGACGCTCGTCGTTGCTTCGGTGTCGCCGGTGCGTGGAGTCTTGTTTGGGTTGTTTGACGACGCGCCAGCAACGTCATCATGGTCATGCCCGAACTTGTGATGTGCGGTGGTGCTTTGTCTTTTGTTTGCGGTTGCGTGATCTATTGAGTGACTGATCAACATCATCAGCACCACCGTTACATATCATTACCAACGAACCGCGATGTTCCCGCTGGTGCCAAACAAACAAAGCAGGCGGAGAAGGTGCTGGAAGGGAAGCGAAAGAGACGTCGAGCCTTGCTGGACGTGTTCGTGAGAGGGCAAGGGAGCATCCCGCCGAGCCTGGTCATGTTCACGGTCGGTCTCATCCGCCACTGGGGGGACGCGTACTCTTGCCGAAAGGCCCTGGCAATCGCGCACGTGAGGCCACGCAGCAGTTGCTGCTGTTGCTGGTGTCGTGTATTACACGTAATTGTCCTTGGCTATCTATTGTTCCTGTTACAGGGAAATGTGGTAGCATTGGTAGGAAAACTGCTGTTGTAATCTACCAAAGGGTGTGTCCCCCTCGCATATCTTGCAACCTCATCCCCAAGTGTCGGTTTTATTGCACCATTGATGTAGCAGCTGGTGTCAACCCCCGTCTTGCTTGGTATTGTTGGACGATTTTGGATCAACACAGACCCTGCGCGTTCCCTTGGCGCCTGTCTGATCCAGCCTCTATTGAGTAACACGTCTTCTGGTTTGTTGTCAACCTCCCTCAGTGCATACTGTCGGAGTACGACCTTCGTTCGGACGTGATGAAGCAGCGTCTGTCGAGAGATCTATTCAACGGCGTGGTGGATGCCCTTGTCGCGGGGGTTCCGCAGTTGCAAGGCATGGAGTGGGAAGCCGTGACTCTGGTGAGTGGGTGTCGGTTCTCGGCTGGAACCCCTTGGGGGAGAAGGAGCGTGTAGGGTTGTGGCTACATGGGTCGCCCCATGGCACAGCCCTGCTCGCGGCGTTGGGTTCACCCTGTTGCGAACGGAGGTACCAGGAGTATTTGATGGTCTTCTGGTCAGCTCAAGACAACCGTAGCAGCAGCGGCAGCTGTGGTGTAACACTTGTCTATCATCATGTCGGCTGAGTCTTCGTTGTTGTTGTTGCTCTTTGTCAGGTGAAAACACTCTACGTGTCGTTCGGCCTGAGCGGTGCGAGGAACAGGACTAGGGGGTCCACGTCCGATGATAGCCTCAGAAAGGTAAGTCTTGGAACAGATAAAAGCGCGGAGAACAAATTCTACGAGTTTCCTTCTTGAACTTCATACTTTTGTTGAATACAATATATACAGCGTTTGGCACGAGCAAGCGTGACGTCGCCAGCGAATTCATCCGGAATGGCTGGAGGCCATTGTGGCAATACCTAGTGATACACGTGACCACTGCCTGCCTTCTCGGATGAGCACTGTATGAAAAGCTCACGTTCTGTTGCTGGATGCCTACCGGCGCAATCAACCACACCACTTGCACTCTGTGCGTTTCGTCCCAACCTCACTTGTCAAGATGCTGCTCCCAATTGTTTTCTCCTCGACACCACCCGCTGTATATTGCATAAGCAGCCCTGAGAGCGCAAGGGTGTTACCTGCAAAGAGATCAGGATGGCTAGGGCAAACTCGAGCCCATACCGACCTCAACAACCGTTGCAACCGTTGGACTTCCTCCTTCCTGACTTGCCGATGTACCTTGCAATCATTGCGTATCCTCCCCCCGGACTCCGATGCCGGTGTACGTTTATCCTTCTCCTGTGTTGTGGTGTTCTCTCCGTTGCTACACTGGGAACCTTACATGGTTCGTTTTGTCGTGTTTGATGAGTGCAGAAGCTGCAGTCCCTGGCCGGGGTGTTGGAGCAAGACGTGTCTACCATGGACGCCAAGCTCAGGAGCGAGAGCAGCGACACCCGCACGCAGAAGGAGGCCGTGAGGGATGTCCTCAGGAGGGCTACGTTAGTCGCGGTGTGTCTTGGTTGTAGTCGATGGTTGTGGTCGTCGTCGATGGAGTTGGTGGAGTGTTGCTTTTGTTTCTTGCTCGATACGATGTGGCCTGCCGTGCGGTATCGGTCCTGCTGCTGTATCAGCTGCTTGCGGTACGGCTGCCCCAACCACTGATCATTGCAGCATGCCAACGCCAACGGTCATGATTTATATGTTGGTTGAACAATGCTGCCACAGGGGGGGCTTCATGTTGTCTGTGGGGAAGGAGGGGGAGGGGGCTTCTCTTGTCTGGCCAGGGGGCAGGCTTGTCAAAACACATGCATTGCTATGCAAGAATTTGCATCAAGGGAGATTTGCAATTGGAGATGTGTGTATGCTTCTGTGGTACAGGGGCTTAGGTTCACGTTCATGTATGCTATGGAGGGGTATCGGATTCAGTCACGGACGCAGTTGACACACCCTGGGTGGCACCGTTTCTTGTTACAGCCAGCCACAAAAGCCACAAAATTTGTTTTGTTTGGGGTTTCTGCATTTGATCATCCTATACGCTTGCAGAGCTGGGTTTCCGAAGAGGTGTCCAAAACCCGGGAAGAGAAATTTTACCGCTTTAAAGTGTTTTGAACGTGCTGCATTGCTTGAAATGATCTTCCGGCCGCCCTTGTGTACACGCCTACCTAGTACACCAGCTTGGGCGTGCTGTGGCAAGACAGAACCTTCATCGTTCTGACTTTTCCAAGCATTATCCAGAGAGCAGGAACGTAGACAGCGCTGCTAAGTGTCCCTCATTGGTACCATCTTCATGTGCATCACGCTTAAGTCTAGCTTGGTGTCATGTCTCCAACGCGAGCAGCTCCGCTGACCCTCTGCCGCGTGCGTCCTGCCGCGTTCCGTGCACCTCCCGCATTTTTTGCCTGAAACCGCTATACATGACCAACGCTTACGACGGCAACAACAGCAAAACACTGCTGGAAGGGATGGGGGGAAGGGCAGCAACGCCAGCGCCACGTTCTGGAAGGACAACAAGGGCAGGTCGGGCGGTGCCAAGGGTCAACCGAACAAGAGCTCTAACAGGTACTATACTATACTGCACCCCCTGCTGAATTTTTGTAGGTTGGGGTTTAGTCCTACGCACCATGCAAGCGGAATCAGTTGCTTGGGCATATTCAACGACTCTCAATGTATGCATAGGTTGTTGCTGTTGCCGCTCGCAACCCGATATGGTGCGTTGAGTTGACATGTCACTGCTTGGTACCACCACCCACTAGAGTAGTGCTACACCGTCAATCGATATTCCGTATTCTTTTATTCCATATTCGTATTGTAGTCCATATTATGCACTCTCCGAAGTCGCCACTTCGAGGACCAACCGTTGACAAAAGCGCCTTTTTTTGTTGTACGCGTATTGGTTGAAGGTTTGATTTTGATCTGGCGTTCATTGCTTTCTTTTTGTTCAGGCTGACATCCCTTCAAATACGGGACAAGCATCGCCGGGGTTTCACTTGTAAGGATCATTTTTCTGCATTAGTAGCACGTCGTTGTTTACGTGTAGTTTCTCTACGCCGATGATGCCGTTACAAAAATCGTGGTGCCGAAACGTAACATTGAAGCTTCGGTGGCGTCACCGCTGGGTTCTCGTGGTCGTTGCCCCCCTCCCGTTGTTTTTGCAGGAACAGGAACAAGAAGAACGGCAATAACGACCAAGACAACGACAATCCGTCCTCGGACATTCTGTGGCAACGCCGATGAGAGTGGGGAGGAGGATGGTGACGAACGACGACGTTGTGGTGATGATGGTGGCACCGTAATTCTTATCGGTTACTGGGCGCAGATTTGGTCATGTCTCTGCGGTGTTTGCTGAGAGGATATCAATTTCTTGGTGGGCCCATGGTTGGATGGCAGTGTGCGCGGGGTGTAACATCTGCGCGAAGTGTAGCTACTGCTGCTGCTGTGGACGGGGGCCGTGTCCCACGAGCTGTGTGTCGTTTCTTGTGTACCGCGTGGAGCTGCACACGGCCGCTAGTCTAGTGGCGTGGTGGCGCCGGCACAAAGCGCACCCAACGGTTTCATCGCAGCCTGAAGAGGTCGAAATTGTATCCGCACACTCTACAGCCGTGCGTGAGTGGATCACGATATGTCAGGAAAATACTTTTGTATGGCACTCGAGCATGCGCAAGCGAGGCAGGACGTTCCGTGGCACCGGCGTCGTGGCGAGGGCGGTGTGTGTGTGGCTGTGCCCCTTCGAGAGCGCTTGTGGTTTGCGGTGCGCAATATCTCTACTGTGTCTGGTTACAGCAGTATCCATGTGCATAGTACCATATGCATAGTACCGTGGTGAGGGTATGGTGGTAGATATTCTGGTAAGAGACGGGATTGTTTAGCCACAGCAGCTACTGCTGTGTTTGCCTTCGAAAGCAACTTGCGGCTTGCAATTCAAGGGATTTCGCTCCTGACGCCACCTTTCGCTGAGTGTCCAAAAGACTTGAGAGTGCGTGCGTGCTTTTTGATGCAGATTATTGTTTTTTTAGTTGAGGCAGCTTGAAGCTTGCACTCTTGGAGGTCGTGGTCAATGTCACAAGTTCTACACACATGCCGTACCTCGAGCCATGCTAGGCGTTGATTGTGGAGAGAAAGCGCTAAAATGGAATGTCACACGGGGGGCGGACTCCTGCTTTGTGAGTTGGCACGGTTATAGGAGTTTTTTCCGCGCGCGAAGCGCGCGTGCGAAAAAATAAACGGAGCGATAGCGGAGTTTTTTTTTCGCAAAAATTCTGTTTTAGATGGGTCATTTTTGTTTCCCCGCCTGGGTTCTGCGAACGTTGAATAACACCGCCTGTCAGCCCGACCCCTGAATTAATTACTGGTCTCAAATTGATGTCCGTGTGTGTGTTTGTGTGTGTGTGTGTTCGCACCACCTTTGCACCGATAAACAAGCCGTTTGAGGATCGTTTTCGGTGCGGAAGAGTGCACAAGCTGTAGCGTAACAAGGCCATCATTCCGCACCCAAGCGTTTCTCATTTCGTGCCCGCGTCGCTGCGTTCGGTGCCGATATGTACTCTATTCACAATCCGTTTCATCGATAACTGCGCCAATTGGCGACGTTCTGCAAAAAAAACGAGTGCCCAAGCCTACTCCTAATAGGTGAACACTCCTCGCGTCGTCGTTTCCTTGCACCAACCCCGAAGTCACTCGTTCACACCCGATTTGTCTTCTCTTTGCGGCGTCCTTCAACTGCTGTCATTTGGGACACGTGTGTGTCGGTTTGGTTCTGCTGCTACGTGTGTGTCGGTCGGTTTGGTTCTGCTGCTGCTGTGTTCTTTTTTTGACCTCGTCCACACCGAGTGGCCAACTTTGGCACGTGTTCAGACCAGCTACCACGCATCTCCTCCTCTACAGCTCGCGGCTTTCACTATCTGCATATCACAGAGGGTGCTTGCGTGTGGTTTGCAGACCACGACAGGGCGTAGTGAGGAGGGGCTCGCGGTCGGCGACAACTCGCGTGCTAGTTCAAATATTCTTCTGCTGCTGCTGTGTTCTGAGTGGTGGGGCATTTTTTTCTACTTCTTCATACGGAGTGCTGACAACAACGATTCGCATCAACAACATCGCATCAACAACATTTCGGGTGTGTGTACCAAAACAAAAGCAACACATATTCACGGGGGGCGCACGACCCAGCCTACTGCAGGTACTTTCCGCAGCACGGGTTATGCTGTTGAGATGGTGCGCGCGGAAAAAACTCCCACTCGGGGTCTAGTAATCTATCTATGCTCTGTCCAACCCTTTTTCCCCTCGTTGCCTCGGCAACGTTTTGCTTAGGCATGACCCATAGCGAGGGGAGGGTCTTTCTAGCGAGCAGGGCTAGACTCAACCTCAAGGGACCGATACCTTCTTGCTGCGGCGCACCCGCCGCGAGGCGTTCGTAGTGGTGGAGTTGGGTCGGCACTATTGCGTCAGGTACAAAGGTGCAGATGCGCAGGCCTCCAGGCCGTCGATGTGGGCAGCAATGCCCATCTCATCTTTGTGCGCAGAGGCAGACGCCATCAGAAAGGTGGACGGGCACTATGTACACGGCCCTAGGTTTGCCAGAGGGAGCTGTACTGTCGCAGTAACCTGGCTTTGCCATCAAAGGAGGAGGGGACAGGTGGTGACGAGCTGATTGGGCTGGTTGACCCATCGGCACGAGAATTTTCAGACCAATAACCCGAAGTACAACGAGGGAGAAAGCGAGGAACCGACTGGGGAGCATAGCAACGAGAGCGTGTATTGTTGTTGTTGTTGTTGTTGTTGTTGTTGTTGTTGTTGTTGTTGTTGTTGTCTTCACATTAAAAACCGTTCCGATCTCTCTCTGCCCAGTACCTTCGTATGTCCGTACTGATACAACACTCGACGCGGTCGATTCCCGTGGTCGCAGGCTAACTTACCCTAAAGAGGTACAACACTCAAATAAAATTGCCCCGAGGGGTCCGCAAGTCAATAGAAACCAACGCCAGATATTCTGGAGTCCTCCACTCCCTCTGCGCGCTATGCGAGGTAACAACTGAGACGATGAGTCACCATCATGGGCCGGAGAGAATGAGCTACACCCTCTTGGTTTAAATTTCGTACTTCACAAAGCAACCAGAGACAAGGCCATCTGGCACAATAAAAGAGAGAAAATAAAAGAAAACAGAGAAAAACAGATGAAAGTAAAAGGAAACAGTAAGGAAAGAGAAAATGAAATGAAAAGAGNTTTCACAACGCAAGCAGAGAGAGACAAGGCCATCTGGTACAGAAAAAAAAGAGAGAACAGAGAACAGAGAAAAAGAGAAGAAAATAAATGGAAACAGTAAGGAAAGGGAAAATAAATGAAATATAAAGAGCGAGGACAAAAAGGGACCAGGCCGAAAATAACAAGAAATAAGAGACAGAAAAAGGCACACGGTGGAGAGACCACTAACGACAAGCAAACACGCAAACATGGCCACCAACCAGCGATACATTGTAATGGTACGTCATCACTAGTGGGGGGTTGGTGCAATGAATGGTGCAGCGTTGGGGGGGGGGGGGAA